TTATTATGGTACACAAAATTGGTGACACTGTAAAAGTTATCTTAATATAGCAGCAATCCATGTTGGCCTGACTAGCAGCTAATTTGTCAATTCAGTTAGAATTAAATTATATTTTTGCCAAATTGAGATGTTTTAAAAAGGTCGACTATAACCTTACTACAAAACCTTATTTCAAAAGATCTGAACCATCCTTTTAATGCTCTAATGGACTTGCACAAATACTTATTAAAATGTTGCATCGACTTTATGAGTCTTTTTTAATTCTCCTTTAGAAACTTCTTTTTGTTCAGTCAATAGCAGAAAATTAAGAGGAGAATGTCAATATTTTATCATTGTTTTCAAACTAATATAATAAAAAGTCATTTAAAACTAATTCTGAAAGTCTCTCCACCACTGACTGCAGCCATTATTTGGATTTTATTTTTTTAAACTTAAAAGGCTGAGCGGAATGCAAAATGTTATCATCAGCAGGAAGGAGAAATTTAGATGGGGTTAGTCTTACACAGGTGTCAGATTTAGCTATTTTTCCAGGATCTCCTGCTGTCACAAATCAATGCAGAGTACTCATTAGGATCAGTTTTCAGTGCACCGGGTAAATACGGTGAAACTGTGTATTTTAGGTCAAACAATTACTATTACTTTCCATCACCAGGCTGCCTAGTTATTTTAGCTCAAACCAACAAATGAAGAAAAAGTAAAAGAATACGAGCAAAACAAACAGAAATCAAAAATAAAGTAATTGAAAAGTTTTTGCTCTTGATTGGTTTTAATTAAGTTTAAAACTTTCATCGACCGGTGTTGCTGTCTTGCATCTGAAACTACTCTTGGTTTAAACAAAATAATAATCACCTCGGAGCTTTGTTCTCTGTATTCTGACAGGTTTTATTGTGTCCCTCCAACAGGGGGCAGCTTCATCCTGTTTATTTTCACCCTGGTGTTCAGCGGAGAGATGCTCACCTTTTCAAGTGTACTGTTGACAGCCTGCGTCGTGCATTCAGCGTCGTCATGGCAATGTTTTTGGGGGTGCTCTGGAAAACAAGGATTACCAAAAGTATCTCTTTTCATTCGAGAAGGCTGGTGGCGTAAAGTCAAAAACATCAGGTTGCCGAATTTTGTCATAAAACATTGGTTTTAAAATAAAAAAACAGGGATTTTTAAAAAAATGTACTGGTGTTTTACACTAAAAATGTTTAAAGTGTCTGACGGTGAGAGCTTATGGGAGTGCGCGCTTCACTTCTACCTTTACACCTCGCACCTCTCCCTGGATGAAAGCGCTTGGAGCCTGAAGTTGAGATGTAATCACGCTGACAGGTGCAATCAAAGGATCCATTTGTATTATGGCAGACTGAGTTGGGCCCACAAACTGRTCCTGACTTGCATTCATCGATATCTAAAAGATCCGAAAGACAAACGAACAAAAAGATTTGTTATATTTCAAGTTTTTTTCTTATTTTTTTAAGACCTTGTCAGAAATCTAAAATTCTCTCATGCATCCATATTCAAACAATCCGAACTCTTCTGCTAAACGGTTTTTCTCTGACATCCGGTTAGCTGCAGGAACACTTCAGCCCACAGCTTTTTTTGGGGATGAAGGTGCCGTTTCTTCTGGTGCAAAAATAAACAAACGATCTCAGATGGTTTTCTCAGGGCAGCAGATGGGAAGGAAGTAAAAGGTTGAAGGAGGAAGAAAAATCACCTCCAACATATTTATCTCCYTCTGAGCAGTGAAGAGAGAGAAAAAGAAGAAGAAGAAAAAAAAAACCCCTTGCTTCACACATTTGCCGACCTGCCGGCCTCGCAGCTGCGTGGTAACTGCTTTAACACACACTCAAGATTTGAGAGCGAGGTCCTCGGCAGGTTTKTTTTTTTTTTTTTGTGCTGACAGATCCCCGTGCGAACGCAGAGACACGCGTCGTCCCTGTCAGACATTACCGGTGCATTCGGTGCCGTCGTTGGGCTGGAACCGGCTTTGTCCCGTCGACGTGTATCCGGGGACACACGTGCAGTAGTAGCTGCCCTCCGTGTTCGTACAGTGGCCCCTGTCGCCGCAGATATCAGTCACGTTCTGGCACTCGTTGTCATCTGTCGGGGGAGAAAAGTGGGTAAGTTACAAACTGGAGAAACATTTTTTAAAAAAGCTTTAAATGAATTTAAAACCCGAAACATGAATGCTTTCCCTGCCCTACACTTGTTCTGATTTATTTACCACAACACCCGTTTGTGATTGTTGTGCACTTTTTCCCCCTCGACTTTACATTGTGAAACAGTAATATTAAAGCAGTTTCATCAAAAATGCCCCCTCCCCTTCATTTAAAAAGGCTGTTTGTGTTCTGACTAAAATACTTTGCGCTCATCCAAACATCCAAATCTTAGCTCTGTTTTAGCATTGATTGTGCTGAAAATTATTGCACAACAACTTGGTGAATACAGGGTTCCTGCTTTTTTGACATCATGATCTGATCTAAATCCTCCATTTGTTTTTTTTTTTTCAAATAGGACCGGAAATTATCTCAATTTGAGTTAAAAAATAATGTAAAACATTATGTACAAAATAAACCTAATATAGAATTTATGGTTCATCCAGAATTATATTTCCTGAAGTTATATTG